ATGTATCTACAGCACATTAGGGGAAACCGTTTATCTACAGCACACTAGGGGGAACCGTTTTAGTACCGGCTCTTCAATTCTACCCATGAAGCATACTGCAAGAACCGGTGCTAGTCGTTGACCTATGGCTAAGCCCTGACTTGCGAGCAGTAGGTCTCTGCCCAGCTGACGTGATAGTGAAGCGCAGACCACTCTTCATCCTAACCAAAGGCTACCCTTCCGTATACCATTTCCACGTAATTTTTACTGAGAACCCGAGCCAGCTCACGAAATCGACGCTAAGTTCAGAACGTTATCAACGGGTGTTCTTGTCGCTCTGAACCAACACAGACGCTCCAGAACACGAACTTAACGTACGAGCAACGGCAAGGGTTGAAGGAGCTACGCGAGCTTAGATCAAATGGTACATTGCGCATATCGGTTAGTGATAAAGGGGGTGAGTTCGTTGTTATGTCACAATCTCTTGATCAAGCCATAACCGAACTCCATTTAAGCGATTCCTCTATTATCGCCGCGTCACCATCAAAGAATTTCCTCACAATGCGCCCATTTCAATCGTACATGGTTAGAGCGTTGCGAAGTCTGCGGGCCTTAATGGAAAATTCATCAGTAGACTCAAAACGGATAGTCCAAACTGTCCGGTTATTCTATAGCCTCATGAAGACCCATAAACTTAGCGCACATGATACGCTGTCAATATCCCCGGATACATATAAAATACGTCCTATTATTAGTTGTGTGGGTGGACCAACTGATAGAATCTCGTGGTTTCTCAATCTAATTGTGAGCCAATTGTTGACCAAGGTTCCGTCTCACCTGTCCAACACTCAACAGTTCCTTGAAACGCTACGGTCCTCCGACTTCGGAAGGAGTGCTGTAGTTGAATCTTTCGTTTCTCTCTATACCAATGTCCAAAACAAGCAGGCCTTGCATTGTCCGAAATGCTGGATAGGCATGCTAATAGTAACAACACATTTGGGCTCAATAAAAACCATATAATGACGTTGGTCAAGGAATGCTTGAGTTGCAACATCTTCAAATGGGCAGGGACCTACTACTCGCAAGTCAGAGGCTTAGCCATGGGTCAACGACTAGCACCGGTTCTTGCAGTATGCTTCATGGGTAGAATTGAAGAACCGGTACTAGAACGTTCCCCTAATGTACTGTAGATACATCGATGACTGCTTCATCGCAACATCAACACAGTCCGAAATGGATGAGTGTTTTCGTATAATGAATGAACAGTCACAGTACATTAAGCTCACACGCGAAGTACCACGAGACGGTTGGCTGCCTTATCTCAACACACAGGTCAAGGTATCCGGAGGCATTGTTAGTGTGAAGTGGTACCGTAAAACAAGTTCGAAGAACATCCTACTTCATGCCATGTCAGCTCATCCACAATTCGTCAAACGTGCAGTTGTCAACAACATGCTGAGAACAGCAACGAGTATGTGCACAGGCGAGGCTGAACGTCAAGAATCACGACGTTTAGCATGTGAGATAGCTGCCAACAACGGTTATACGGTACCACAGCGTCATGGAAGGCAGCACACTAACACGCGAGAAAGTCCGCGCCACAACAAGCTGCCACTTTGTCTTCCGTTCATCTCTGATAAAGTCAGTGCTGCTATACAACGGAGCCTTTCTAGGGCGCAGTTGTGTTGTGTTGTGTTG